GGATGTTCAAGGGTCCTAAACATAAAGCTAGAGCAACAATAAAATGATTTAGGTCAAACATGTTCATGGGTTAGAACAGTCATCTCAGACTCCAAACCCAGTTTTAATTTGGACCCAGTTGCAGGGCTCAGTTCATGTAAAGAATACAGATGCATGCAGTTGTTTTAATGTTTTCCATTTTAAAGACAAAAAACATACTTGCTTAAATTCCTCTGAGACTTTTTTCTACCTTTGCTCGAAGTGTTGTGTCGTTCTAGGATTAGTCACACTATATATTCTAGCAGAGGTCTTAAGGGCTGGAATTCATTGGCCCTTAAAGACTCCATATGGATTTAATTTAATCCACATATATGGTCACATCCATAACTTCTGCCTTTATTCATTTGTTTTTGGGAATTTTTTTTCTTTATGTATTGAAATGTTAAAATTTAATATTTTTCTACAGCCATGTTTATTTTTATCAGTCCATATTTATATCCTTAGCAGACATATAAAGCAAGAGCACATGCCCCCCTACCATCTCTGCATCTGTCTCCTGAGATAATGAGTTCACTATTGCAGAAATGGTTTATATCAGGCATTTTGAAATCCACTAGAAGCAAACCTAATCTTGAGCAATCCAATAAAGGCCAGAGAATGTTTCTAACTGCTCTAATGAATAGAAAATAACCGACATTGGTGTCATTTAAAATGATTGGCATTTAGGTAATTTTATTCCAGCTCTTCTCATTTGTGGTGTTCACTCTGCATGTCCTTTGTGAACAATATTTTTTATGAAAGAGGAAGGACTGTGAGGACAAATCTTTTTGTCAGACCGTCAAATCATTTGCACCTTGAAGGATTGTTTTTCGTGTGATCACCTTCATATGATTAGTTTTTTAGCACAAGAGCAAGGTTAGCCTTGGAGAAAAAAAACCGAATTATGGTTCGAATCAAAGTCTGTCATTGTGACCCTCACTACTTTTCGAAATGCTAAAACCAACATTGGAAGATGGGTAAATGGGGGGGAGGGAGCTTGATGAGAAGACTCTCTTCGTCTCTCTAGTGTTTTTATGCTTAGCTTTTGTCATATTTTTTCCCTTTAAATTCAGCATGGTTGGGAATGGCCTTTTAAACAATTAGTTTATTGTAAAAAATTAAAACAAATATTAAAGAATTAAAGCATGGCTATACCTGGAAATGCCAGCTAGACCTTAAATGTATAATTTCTGACCGCTTTTCAATTGTCAAAAAAACAAAGTTTGGACTAAAGTTTGGACTACTATCCTTGGTTCTCTAGAGATATCTATTATTTTATATTTCTTTTTGTTTGGTGGCTTTTGTATTTCTGCCCTGCTTCTCCCTTCCCCTCTTCTATCGCCTCCTCCTCCTCCTCAAGGTTCTCTATGACTAGTATTATCCAGTCCTTCTGCATCACCTCAATGCCCATGACTGGCCTCTCAGCTTCTAATAACAACAACAGCAACAATGATAAACGATTTTAACTTTCCGTCTTAAAAAGAAAATATATAAACACCATAAGGAAAACACTGGAACCCAGTAAGTGAATCATTCAACTTATTTGTATTTTTCTTGAGCTGGTAGAATGAGTTACATTTTATTTTAACAGAACCTGAATAGAGGACGTATATTTTCTCCACTCTATCTCTAACTTCAATCACATACACTCTTTTTCTTCAATAAAGCAAAAAGCAGTCAGTGAGGATGGATTAATATTAGGAGTAATAGATGAAAAGGTTTAATGATTCATGTATAGCTGTTATGATATTGGCACTGATGACTGGATTATTGGTTCATGTTTTTCATTTTTTTCATCATTTTATTTCATTACTCATCAGATCCACCTGTTCCAGTTCCTATTTAAACTGCTTGGTCCCAGCCATCAGCTCCAGATTATTCGAGCCATAGGTGAGAGTTCTCTAGAGTACCCCAGTTTGTTTATTCTGCCTGCCTGATCTTGACTAGTTCCTGCTCCTGGACTTCTGAGTTTCCCTGCTCTGATCTGTTTTCCTGACCTGTCTTTGGACTCCGATTGGATTTAGCCTTTTAATGACCTTGGATCTGTTTCCAGACCCCGGCTTAGATTTCCCTTCGGTACTTCTTCTGATCTCTGATCTTCTGACCAGGACTTCCGCTTCCTCATCGACACGCTTTGGATTCTCCTTCAGGATACTTCTGGTTTTCCTCATTAGCTTGCTTCTGCTTATCAGTCTGCTCTGCAGCACCTTTGGCTTCAACTCCTGGAACTCTCTGGGGGGCTTCTGCCGTGTGCTGTGGAAAATCATCGTGCTGGATTCCACACCTAACCAGGCAGTGTATTCTCAATATTAGTTCTTATGAAATCGTACGAAAAGTTATGCACCGTAATTTTGTACGTTTTAGACGTTTTTTTCGTCGCATTTCATTGTATTTTTACGTCTTGCCTCGAGACAAGATATCCTTGCCCATGCGCATCTTACGCACCATTCAATAACATAGAATTCATGCCTAACCCTAACACCTGACCCTTGCCTTAGAATTACACTTAGCCGACCCCTAGCCTTGACACTTGCCCTAAACCTAATTTTAAGCCTTGCCTTAACCCTAAAACCTAGCCATTACTCTAAAAGCTAACCCTAGTTCTCCAAGTTTTACAAACTGGCTTGGCTATGGATCTGAGAGATACCAACGAACGTGCGTGGGCCCGTGCATTGCCTTTGATCCCCTAGCCAACTGCTCGGGTCGTCGGACTGGGTGGGGGGGGTCATCGAGAGAGTGTCTAACGCCTAACCCTAAGATACAAAACAGCAAGCAACCTAGTTAGAGACCTGAAGAAGTGATTAATGCACTGTTTTTCCCAGTTTTACGTCGGTCCGCGGATCTGCTTTTTTCGTCTGTCTGCCTGCGCATGCGCACTGATCTGTATTTTCGGGGGAAAATGTCCAAAACGTACAAAATACTGTGCATAACTTTTCGTACGATTTCATACGAACTGATAATGAGAATATGTTGCACCAGGTTACTGACTCACCTGTTTGCTATTGTTCCTCGTCAGAGTTACATGGTCACTAACCTGTGTTTCTTCGTCTACAGAGATTCAGCCATCCAGTCCTAGCTGTCGAGCTGCAAAACTCTGAGCAATTAATAAACACTGTTTATAAATCACTTCAGTCTGTCTGCCTGAATTCTGGGTCCTACATTCTGAGCCGTGTATCCTCCATATTCAGGTAAAGGTTTATTTTGTACAATAGCTGCCTCCTGTCCAAACTCTCTCAGCTCCACCTTCTCTTTTCTTTCTAGTATCTTTGCTAATTTAACTCTATCCTGTTACTTTCCTCCTTTTCTTTCTGTCATTTAGACTTGCTCATATCTATTGTTCATATCTCAGCTTAAAATAAGCGTTAAGTTTGACCCAGTCTGATGTTTTCATGCACAGGGACAGCAGCTGAATTATACTGGGTAGAAAGAAAAGAAAATACCCCAGAAAATACTCCAAACATCCCTATGACGCCCCGCCTACTGCCTTTAAAGGTTAACCCTCGCTGTCTGCTAGTGCAGGGTCAAAGCGTGAAGCGCAGGTTTTCATGCAGCTTTGTCAAATTAGGTATTTCATAGACAGAAATAATAGTTTAATGTGATTTGGTGTTATTTAGAGAAGCTAATGAATTCAATGATGTATAATCACAGCTTTCAGTGATCTACTAGGGGAGCAGAGCGCTCACCTTGGATAATACTAGGGGAAACACTGAAGTAGTATTTTATTGAGCAAGAAGGAAATGGATGCAGATTTTTTTTTCTCAAAAATTGAAGTTTATTTTTATTTAAACGACCTTAGCAAAAAAAACAACTTTTTATGTAATAACAGCTGCAGTTTTTAAGACGTTTAAAGCTGAGGATATTGTTCTGTTACTACTGTAGCTCCTCTTATTAATTCTCCTCTAATGATCTGCCAGCTGTGTTTTTAGTCATAGTTCGTTCTGTTCACAAATATTCTCAAACAAAAACTACTGGCCTTCACGGAAAAACTTCATGTATTGATCAGGTAACAGAAAGAGAAAATACTAATTAAAGTTCTTGAGTTATGATTTTTAATTAGTGACAGCAGCAAAATGCGAAGTATTTACAACAGACAAAACATCACAGCCTCTCCTACAACAGAGAGCAAATAACTTAAGGCTGAAGACGACGCCATTCTCCTTCTCATTGCTTTCCTTTTGGTTCCTTTCAATGTTTTTGGTTAAAATTACTCCAGCCATTTGGGTCCTTGATAGTCTGTTAAAAGCTTGTAAACATGTTTTTAAGCTTTTCCCAGCTTGTTATGTGTTCATCTGTAGCTGTGAGCGGCCATCAGCTATGGAACCTCCTTTGACTTCATCCATTTTAGGTCTTTTTGTTTTCTTTATAAAACCAGATGAGACTTTCTTGCTGTTCTATGGAGTGAATGTTGTTCCATTATTGTTGCAAGCAAAGAACACATTTCACAAATGGAGAAAATGCAATTCAGGGTTGAGTCAGTGAAATTCCTGATTAAAAACGAAAAAAAAATGTATACCAACTTTGATGTTTTCTCTTTTTCAGATTGAAATGTTTATTCTTTTCATTGCATTTAACAGATCACATTCTCTTCACTTCTGGGGGTGAAATTTTCCCAGCAGAGGGGAGTGAAGATTCATTTCTATTGGTTTGACAGGTGTAAGCAACATTTTTATTAGTTAAACACGAGTGTTTGAATTGGGATTGAAGTGAAGAGAGCTTAAACTGTAAAATGCACTTTCCGAAGAATTCAATTTGTTAAACTCAATCTAAAGAAAGAAAATAACAAAAATTTCTTCTTTCAGCAGGACTAAGCGTGCTAAAATCCAACAACTATTAGAAAAAAAGTTGCAGTTCACAACTACAAAATTAGATCCTATACTAATTTACTATCAGTTCTTATTCTCTGTATTATTCTTTTTGTTTTTAGCTATCGGATCATTTAAATCATGTCTCTGAATATTTGTATTATTTGAGTGATCCAGTATATATTTAAATTACTGATCTGTAATATTTAAACCTGAAAAAATACAATATTTATTCAACAAGTATTTAAGCCATTGCTACTATCTTGTTTTGTCTTTAAAGTTAGATTACAGATCTTCTTAGATTTACTGAAACTTTGTTGAAATATGAAACCAGTTGGGTCGGAGGCCTAAGGGTATTATCCATTGTATTCAAGTGTTATTTGCTTATTGACAGCACTGTCAACTGACTTATTAAGTCATCAACTCGTGACTTTAACTGAAATGCACTCCATCACAAACTATTAATATCCCACAATATTCATTAATGTCATCGGACATGTTCAAGGAGAGGTTTGTTTGGCTGAGAGAAAAAAAACAAAGATAAACACAGTGACAAACTGATGAAAGAAACTATTGTTGACAGTTGATTTCCTACATTTGAGGACAATGGGTAGAACAGGATGTTTGGCATTTAAAAGGGGAGATACATCACTGTAAGCGAGTAAACAAGCTGGTGTTCCTGGTAGTGAATGTTTTACATGGAAAAACCCCACTTTAGTCCTTACATTCATGAGAGGAGAGCGCTTTAAATTGGCAGCTCTAAATGTCACAAGGGTCTGACTTGTGACATTGAAAACTTGCCCCAGAGTCTCTGTTCCAATTTTGATGATATCCTTTCTCTCCCGTTGTATTACCAGGCGTTCACACACCAACTCATACCATCTGCAAGCACTTCCAAGAAGAGGTGAAAGATCAGTTTCACTTAAAAAGCAGCAAAGTTTCAGTCACCATAATAACTGCTTTTAAGAGTGGTCACCGGCACTGGGAGTGCTTCTTTGCTCCAATGAATGGAAAAACTCATCAATTTACTCCACTCAGCTACCATGACTACAATATGTGATGCATGATGTCAGTAAATGCAGCTGTAATGCCTTTCCTTGAGGTTTTCTGGCAGCTCATACAGCGTCCAGAATTATCCGCCTCCTTGAGCCGCGCCCTGTTCGCCGTTTTTCCTCAGAGACAAGTTTCTCTTTAACCCTATGTGGGACTTTCCACCTTCACACCTGTGACCGTAGCAGTAAAGCATCGCTGGAAAAGCCGCTCCGGGTCTGATGGCTCCTTGTCAGAGTCCACTTTCCTGTTCATCATTTGCTTTCTGAACCCCTGTGGACCAGAAGCAGCGGTAACTCTCCCATGACTGGTTCCTTCGCTTGGGTCTACAACTGAAAAACACAGGAAAAACAAAATGACTATTGATTTGTTTACCACAACAAAAGCTCTGGAATTGCATATCTGGACAGAAAAGTAAAAAAAAAGTTTTGTTAAAAGATATTGTCTGCCTGTACATAGCAGATGCTATAAGAAGACTTATCCTTCCTTACTGAGGAACAGTGCTCAATCCTGAGAGTTAAACTAGATATGTGTTATCAGATAAACTAAAGCCTTAGCTCACATATAAACACTTAATATCCATCCTATTCAATTAAATTAAATTCTGTTTATTTCTACAGCGCCAATTCACAACACGTCATCTAAAGGCACTTTACAGTTCTCCAGATCATACAGTCAAATTGATTCAAAGTTTTCTATCTAAAGAAAAACAAGCTGATTGCATCAACTCATTGACTCGAATGCAATCACTCACACTAAGCATGCTTGTAGCGACAGTGGAGAGGAAAAACTCCCTTTTGATAGGAAGAAATCTCCAGCAGAACAAGGCCAACTGGGGTTCAAGGAGAGAGAAGCAGAGATGCAAAGCATCTCATTGCAATCTCATTGCAATGACTCAATCAACTCCTCCCGACAGAAACATGTTCACCATAAAAAGATTTCTTTATCGTGTTTCTATAATTTCATCAATGCAACAAAACTTAAACCACGCAGTGAAGGGCGTTGAAGCAGTGCAAAGTAAAATCCACGCAGTCAGGGCATTCACTGCTCCTCCCTCACCTCATGCTCTTATGTGACATTTCCTCCAGGATAAAACTTCAATCATGATTGCTTATTATATATTTTAGTCCATTATTCCTTTTCTATAGTGTGATAATACACTTAGAGCCTGTGTCGCCATATAAGGTTTATATAAGACTTTTACATTTTTGCGGCTCCAATTTTTTGTTTTTTTTGGTCCAATATTAGCCTGACGTAGTCCTACTCAATTCTAGTCAGAATATGAGTCTGATACTGCTCCATAGAGCTGTAATTAAGGGGCGTGTTTTGAAGGAACCAGGAAAAAAATGCCTCTGCACTCAATTGGATAGACCTACAACCAACAAGAGCAACGGAGTGCGTGACGTATGTTAAGCGAGGCATAGTTGTTGTCAACAAAAATCAAAGTGTGCAGTTGCACGCCTAGAATAAGAAGATGAGCCTTGATCGCGTTTCTCTGTTCCTCTTTTAAAATTAATTTGCTGTCGATATCTTCTAGAACAGACCTAATAGCAGAATCTACACACCTCAACTCCAGCGGCAGCCATTGTTGTTGTCACTCAAGCGCGCTTTGGTGACGTGGTTGATTACGTTACTGTTGATCATCTGTCTATCATCGTATAAAGCCCGCCCTGACAATTTGATTGGCCCGCCAAATATTGTGCGAGCATACTCGCGCTACTACTGAGCAATGCCAGACCGAACTTCCCGACCTCAAACGTTGTGGGCGGGACTAAGTTTGGAATGGCACCCAGGCTAGTCCAATATGGCTCTTTGAGCAGTTTGGGTTGACGACCCCCAGTATATGGCTACCAGAACCATCCAAGGGTTGTGGCCTATGGCTCAAAGGGGCCATGGCTTATGATCTCCAGAACTTATTTAGAGGATGTTGGTTTTCATTAAGCTCTGGTGGACATCCATCCCTCTTGAACCCTTGGAGAGGCGCATTCTATTTCTGCCTGCCTGGCTTATCAGCTGAAATATATGTGCCCCCCCTTCGTCTCCGTCCCTCTAGGTTCTGGCAGGTGAGGTAAGCTAATGCCTGCCCTGCTTGGTGATGGTCAGTCTTGTGTGCAGGGGTTGTTGTGAAACCACTTCTATCCAGGGGACTAGACCTGTGAAGCTGGGGGAGGTAGAGGGGCTGTGTCAGTAGGGCTTGGTGCCATTTGTCTTTCTGTGCCTCTTTGGCCTGTAGGCTGCTGCTTCTTTGCTTGGCTACCCACCTCTGTGTGGGAAATGTTGCTTTGCCTGGAGTGGTGCTCTGTGTTTGGCACCATCTTTTTGGCCTTTACACTATAAAATACAGTATGTGCTCAGTAATTTGTACACATAGATGTTAAGTGTAAGTAATGATGTAATAAGAATAAATATTTTGAGTATTTTTGACTAGTTTGGGTTTACAGCTAAAGAGAGTTCCTTATTGCAGTAGAGACATTTACAGCTTATTACCTTTGAACATAGTGTAGAAAAATGCAACTTAGGTGGATTTGCCCAAAATGGTCGTACTTCTGCTTAGCAAAATTGTATTGGTTTGTTTCTACCCATCAGTTGTCAGAGAAAATAAATGATTCTGATAAGATTGAATCTTGTTAACTTGGATCCAAAGTCATGGAGGAAACATTTCTTTTTGAATTGATGCAAGTCTGTGCTTTATCTGGCATCATTTCTGAGAGATTTTCTGAGTTAGAAAACAGAGTTATGAAGGCAAATGCAGCAATTTAATTCTTCTAGACTTTGTCTTCTTGGGTTAAAGCTGGTGTTAAAGAACAACTTAAGGGGAAAATTCTAGCTATTTTTGTCTTTGTTTTTGAGTGAAGTTACCAAAAAGGAAGATAAAATTTGAAGTGGGGTGGAAACAAATGATATTGATTTGCTTTTATACTTTATCCCTTTAACATATACAACCCTAATGTTTTTTTTTCTGTTGTTTTTTGCTTGCAGGTAGATTTTTGTACTAACTATGCAAGGCACAGAGATGTAATCCTATAGGTTTGTTTGCAGTGATCAAAACAAATTCAAAGCTCAGTAATGACACACACAGCTAAACTGTTGTCACCATCAGATTTTCTTCATGGTAGATATGTGTGAAAGTGCCATATCAAGATTTATGTTTATGACACCAAAGCGACAATATCCCACCAACCAGAGAGGTGTCACAGCTCATTAGCAATGCATGTTTCAATTTCATTACAAGACAAGACGACTCCTACCTTCACCTGAAACACACAAACACGCTCACACATGCATACTGGGATGTAATTAACCCTGTTTTCAACAATAAAACAAAATCATAACAGAATGACAAGTCTGACACACACCCATCCTGACCTGGTGCTCTGAGGGGCAGGCCGTTGTCAAGGCGACTGGGCTTGGTGGCTATGAAAAGGTAGCAGAGGACGCAGACAGTGATGAGGAAGGCGAGGAGCACCACCGCTGCGATGGATAGACCTACCAGAGCACCGATACTGAGAGGAGACAGGATGATAATGTAGAAACAAAACTGACAGGTTAAAAAAGCAATAGGTGGGAAAAAACATTATAGGTGAACAAGAAAAAAAGGTTGCTGCTACTTGTTAAGGTGTAAATCTATATATTATTAAGTAAATCTAAATGATTTCTCTCCAGTAGTTATTAAAAACATATTTCTATAAAGAGAAAGTGATAAAACAATAAGCTAGAGAGGAAAGTAGAAAAATTATTTACGTTCTTTTCAGACATCTTTATTAATGAGAAAGCTTTAGCCTTTTTTAGAACTACAGTAACAAATCAGGGTGGTAACTAAACAATATCATTAAAAGTTATGAAGTTAATTGTGGTACAAGGATTTAAAAAGCATAAGAAAAATAAAAAATGACAGGAGAAATGTCAAATAAAAGTGTGCTTACCTCAGCCACCACATGTATCCATACTCATATGGAAAAAAGCTGTTGGGATCATCGCAGCAATACTTCACATCATTAAAGCCACAGCAGTAAATGGCAAAGGCAGCGCTGCCTGGTTTGGGGCAGGAGAAAGCCTCCACAAACACACCGTCAGTGTTGTAGTAACTGCTGCATTCAGCGCTCATCCTGCAGCGAAGAGACGGGAGGGAAAAATAGGGTGAGTGATACAGAAGGACAAAGCACTTCTGTTCAGTGGATTAGAGAGCAGAGGAAGATCCCCGCATTAGGGGGGATGAGAGATTTCTGATGGTAACTGGGGGAGGTGAAGTGTGATTCTGCATCAGCGGAGGGAGCGAAGTTGGAGGCGCAGAGGTAGAGAGAGAGGACATAAGGGAGGGGGGGGGGAACTTTGAATGCAAAGAAAAGTGTGGATCTCCCTCGATCTCTCTCTCCCTGTCTTTCTCTTGCAAAAAAATAACTCTTAGGCATCAGTAATTCTTTTATTGTCTTTCTTGATTTGTTGTTGGAGTGTGATTTCATCCATCAGCAGTATATCTAATTGGGATGAAATAGTGAGGCTTGAACAGCACTGCTGTGTCTCCTGGGGTCAGGTCAGATCTGGAGTATCTAACACAATGGACTGTTGTGTAAGAAGAATTTCATGAGTGTGGTTAATGTACTGGAAAATGTTTTTTTTACATTAGGATCTTTAAGTAAGAGCACCTCTAAGATGCATGGGGGAATTGATCTCTTCTGGGAGAAATTATAACAGGCTTAGAATGGAAATTAATTTCCTAAAGTATTAATCCCCCCCTTCCAAATGGTTGAACCCAGATGGCTCAATGCCTCATCACTGATGTAGCTCAGCAGGTAGCTTGCTGTAGTCCAGCCTGGTAACATGGTAGGATGCCACCTGTGGTGTAACTCCAGTAGTTGAGTCTCCTCACTGCTGTCATCTCTTGTTTAAGAGGATAAGAAAGTGGATAGGCCAGGGAACATTTTATTATCCACACCCACAGACCTCTAAAGACATAATTTCTGCTCTGAGACGACAGGGATCCAAAGCACAAACAGGGCTGGACTGGGTCTAAAAAATGAGCCGAGCATTGGTGGTCATGGCGGCCAACAAAGACTATTTAGATTGTTTGCATTTTATATTTTGACTATGTAGATTGTTTTACATTTCCGTAAAAAAATATTCACCATAATTTGAATAATTGTTCAGTATAATAATATTATTTACATATACAAATACCTACAATAAATAGATACATTTGTTTTTGATCTCTTTATACATAGAAGACCTCTGGATGACCTGCGGATACATAGCTTTCTCCTCTTTCCCATAAAACAAAAAAAAAAAGCGTTTTGCAGAGATCATGCGTTCTGAAGTAATTAGTGTATTTTTTGTTGTGGGCTTCACAGAGTGCAGTTGGTAGCGCTGCTGCCTTGCAGCAAGAAGGTTTCAGGGTTCGATTCCTCTGCATGCGTTTGTTCTCTTCCTCCCACAATCCAAAAACATGACTGTTAGGTTAATTGCATCTCTAAATTCTCCTTAGGTGTGAGTGTGTGTTGGAATGGTTATTTGTCCTGAACCGGCGACCTGTCCAGGGTGGACCCCACCTACCACCCATTGACAGCAGGAGATAGGCACCGGCACCCCTCGCAACTCCAGCAGGGATAAACATGTCAGAAAATCGATGGATTTTTTTTTGGTTTATGTTTATTGTTAATATATGAAAAATGAAAATGTAAAATTAGCTAGAAAAATCATTCCACTTGAGAGTATTACTGCTGCCATCCTCAGTTTTAGATGAGAGGTGCTTAAGAATTATGCCCACATGGGATCACCTGGTAGGGGGGGGGGGGGGGGGGGGGGGCACAGGGGTGGCTGATGATTGCTAAGGGTGGCTTTGGCCACTCCTGGTCCACATCCCGCTCTATCCTTGGTAGAATCCTAAAATGGAGTGGTCAGTGGCTTAATAAAATAACCAGAGGGAACCTTGCAACTCATAAGACCGCGCCAAAGGCAGCGTTCTGCGGCACGCATGGCCTAAGTAAATCTGTTCCCCCTCTCAGCCCCCCACCCCAATGTATGCTATTTATTGTGATGAACAGTTTGTACTGAAACTGAAATCTTGCAATGTAAATTGTAGTTGACAACAGAGATTGATTGATTGATTGATTGATTGATTGATTGACTGATTGATAAGAAAGCAAGGACCAGTAAATTTGGTAAGATGCTGGGGCTTTAAAGCTATATTCTGTTTTTCACGTTACTCTGCTCATATAAAAAGTTTAATCTTGCATTAATGTATTAATTTGCTACACATAAATGCATGAAAATGTAGGAGCTGTTATGTTTGTTTTCAGAAATCTTTTATAGGAGAAAAGCTGTGGGTGTAAAACAAACTTAGAATTCCTTAATGACTCCTCTCTGCAGAGTCAGCATGCAAGCCAACCCTTGCACCCCTGCTGTCAATCAGAGGGATGCTGCAAAAACATTAAAAGTGTCAGGGCTTTTTCATTATAAATTCCAGAAATGATAGACGGGGAAAAAATCTATGAAAAAAACAACCTTCTTTTTGTGTCAAAGATGGAGTCATTTCTTTCACCAAACTACAAAGACAGCTGGACTCTGACTAACTTTCATCTGATAAGCAGCCCTGCAACCGTTTCTTATAAAGTAAATGTGTATAGATGCAGGATTACAGACTCACTCCAAACTCTGCCTAAAAAAATCTCCCATTTCTCTGCATAAAGGAAAGCTGTTGCTTAAACAGGAATGTATTTGATTGGTCATTCAAAACAGTCACTGTTCCTCCCCTTCTTGTTTTTAACTTAATATAGCACATCTTTAATCTGGGAAAGATGTGTCAGCACAAGTCAAATTGCCAAAAGATCCCTGCAATTTGCTGCATATGAAGTGCTTTTTTCACTAGCTCAGTACTCTGTGTGAAGGTATGCGTGGACATTCATGGTTTGGTTGTCAGCGACCAGCAAAGAAAAGCGACCAAACTGACACCTACCTAGCCATACCCACTACTGACTGAGAGAGCTGCAAGACTCCTGTTCATTGCATCCTGTGCCTGCTCTGAATGCAATTTAAATGATCTACTCAGGCAGCTGAAATAATTAATCAAAATATTCTGTGCAAAAAGTAGTAGACCAAAAAAACTGTGCCTGGGCTCTGCACACAGAGATTGCTGTACACAGCTCAAAGGCTACTTGTAGTTGTCATCCTGTCAATAGTCTTTGCATTGTTTATGGATGAGAACAGAGGATGAGAGGAGGACAGTTCAAACTGCTGCCTTATTGAATGGTCCAAGCATATAAGAGAATTACAGATATCAGAAAACTCAGAAATGCAAATATTCATTAACACGTTGATGCAATTAATACATATGGCTAGCCTGGGTGCCATTCCGAACTTAGTCCCGCCCACAACGTTTGAGGTCAGGAAGTTCGGTCTGGCATTGCTCAATAGTAGCGCGAGTATGCTCGCCCAATACCTGGTCAGGCCAATCAAATTGTCAGGGCGGGGCGGGCTTTATACGATGATGGACAGATGATCAACAGTAACGTAATCAACCACGTCACCAAAGCGCGCTTGGGTGACAACAAAAATGGCTGCCGCTGGAGAGTTGAGGTGTGTAGATTCTGCTATTAGGTCTGTTCTAGAAGATATCGACAGCAAATTAATTTTAAAAGAGGAACAGAGAAACACGATGAAGGCATTTGTTGAAAAGAAAGATGTTTTTGGTGTCCTTCCTACGGGATTTGGCAAAAGTTTAATTTATCAGCTGGCTCCCTTGGTCGCTTAACATACGTCACGCACTCCGTTGCTCTTATTGGTTGTAGGTCTATCCAATTGAGTGCAGAGGCATTTTTTTTCCTGGTTCGTTCGAAACACGCCCCATAATCACAGCTCTATGGAGCAGTATCAGACTGATATTCTGACTAGAATTGAGTAGGACTACGTCAGGCTAACATATGGCCGCCTTTGTTAGAATAAAGTGAAAGCAATGGTCTGTAATCAGAAATTTTTTTTCTCTGCAAAAAAAAGTCTTTTAGTACAATGGCTTAGAGTTGTTGAAAGACCCTTGACCTTTTCAGTTGAATTTCTTATTACAAGATGACCAACCACGTGTTTCTGGCTTGTGTGTTTAAAGGGGACATAAAAATGTTCAACCAAACTAACTTATTTGACAAAATTGTGTCTAACTATTATCAATAATGACATTACAAATGTGAAAAATATAAACGTAAAAGAACATTCCTATAATTATAGTTATATAATTCAAAATTTTTTGGTAAGGCTGCAATCATGTTGCAGTACCTCAAGCTGGGATGTCACTGGGTTGATTGATGCTACCTGTTGCAATTGTATACACTGGATGTACCGGCAATAGATCACAACCATAAAACATTTAAAACATTTGGTTTGATGGAAGACGGAGCTGAAAAGACACTGAACTGTCTATATAACATTGCTAATGCTTTGGAGCCCATTCGATTTGAGCCGTAGTAAGGAGAGAAGAGGCAGTTTTGGAGCTGAGTTCTGACTATTCCTGCTATCTCACAGAACAACATTGTGGAGATTATGTAAAGTAAAAAAACTTTTGAGTCTGGAAAGCCCTTACCAAAAAGTTGTTTTTGCTTACTTTTACATTTTCAAATTTTAATGTAATTATTGACAATAGTAAGACGAATGCAGTACCATCACTTCTAAAATTTTCCCTTCAGTGTACACAGTTTACAGCGTGTAGGTTGTTTGTTGAAAAATATAATATACATCAAAGAAAACCCTTGCTTTGCTGCAAAATACTTGCTATGCATTCCATAAGATGACTGAGAATCTTCACCAGCTACTTGCCATGCATTCAAGTGACTGTACGTGTTTGAGTGTTTGATTCCAGCTGGCTTCAAAAGGACTGAAAGGAATGAGCACAGCAGCCCTCTGATGAGTTGTCTACTAAACAGGGAAATGGAGGTGGAACCTAGCACTGCAAAAACCCATAAAAACAAAAAAAAAACAGTAAGATCAGGGGGGGAGTTAGTCATTTTTGGGCACAAGTACTTCTCACTGCCTCCCAGGGGTATCTGCACGTGAGTCTGAGCTTTAGGCAAAGACATGACAAAGGGAATTAAATTGTTCAAGTAACTCAAAAAGCCTTTATTTAAAACACAGACTGCGGATCTGCAGTAGAAACTGCTATGGCATCTGAGGCTGGAACCTCTGCAGGAGAGAAACACAGGTTAGTGACTACGATAATCTGGCGAAGAATGATTATGAACACGTGAGTCACTAACCTGGTCAAACAGTTTAGTGCTGCCAACAAGATGCGGTGAGCACCA